CGGAGGTATCAACACGATCGGAATCATTGGTACCATTATCAGTGCTCAGATCATTGATCGCCTGGGCCGACGTGTGTGTTTGATGGGCGGAGCTGCTGTTTTGTTTGCTGTTAACCTGATTGTAGGTTATTCTTATACCGCCGAGATGTACCTTCTTCTGACTTTATTAGGCTGGAGCTGTTTATGAGGGCTCTCTACATAACCCTGAGAAGGCAGCTCAGTATGCGCCGGGCGCTGTCACTATGCTCTTTTTGTTCAATCTGGGGTAAGGTTTATCCCTCGCATGTGTCAAAACTTTACTGACGTGATGTATAGATATGCTGCTACCTGGGGTACAGTCGCTTTCTTGGTCCCCACCGAGATCTTCCCGAGTGATCTGCGGGCTCAAGGCAATGGATTCGGAATTACTGGGTGGGCCATTGGTGTGGGTATGACCACTTTGGTCAACCCGATCATGTTCAATGTCATGACTGTGGGTTCTTAACAGTTGAAGGATTCTCCTAAATAAATACTGACCATCTCTCAGAGCCGTACATATTTCCTGTTTGCTGGTCTGAATCTGATCTGGATCCCCATTGTCTATCTGTGTAAGTTGAGACAATCTCTAGTATGTTCCAGCAACTAACAATATCAATTTTTAGTCTACCCCGAAACCCGCAACCGCTCCCTCGAATCCATCGATGCCCTCTTCTCCACCCCTAGTCCCTTCTACTGGAAGATGGAACAGGCTTATAAACTCCACGGTGATGTTCTGGCTGAACATGGAGTCACCAAGAGCGAAGAAGCCCTCGAGATTGGCAAGACCGAGTTCACTTCTACCCCTGCCGAAATCGATGCCGAACGCGCAGCCACCGGTGAACCTGCAATCGTCTAACGCATACCTGCATCACAACCGGCGCCACAATCGTGTTCAGCTCTATACTGGCGCCACGCACGAAAACATGTATAGGATCATGTAGATCTAGTTACCCGCACATAATGTTTTATAGACTCCTCATTTCCTGAGGATAGACCTTATTCCCATTCATACCACCTTTTTATTACTGTCAATATCATCAATTGAACAGTTTTCCTCTTTGACTTCGCCAAGTCTGATTTCGAGGTCAATGACACATGCTGACTCAGCATCGTTCGCAATGTCGACATAGACTTTTTATCCTTCGGACACCAGTCAATTGCTTGATCATCGATGTGTTCAGAAAGGTCCACTGCTTAAGCTTCATTTCCCTTCATTTTTGGTGCCTTTTTCCCATTCTGCCTCCCCAGTCTTACCCCAGGAATCACAGACAACCGTTACCAAACCCCGAAACCCCGTGTTCCAAGCTCCGGGGCCCGCGATTTCCTGTGGGCTGCCGTTGCCACCCCCAAAGCACCTCCAGTTTGGAATGAATTAATGGATTGAATGTCGCAAAAACCGCGAAAGCTCCAACGCGTTTCGAAAGCCTGTAAGTCCTCCCGCCACGTCCAATTCCACCTGCTCCACTCGCCGTTGGCGGCAAAATGCCCCAGACTGCAAAAAGCTCTGAGCTGACGCCACTTCAGGCGACTTCTGCAATAGGCGCAGCATCAAGTGCGGCAGAAGTGAAGATCCGCTAGGCAGGTGTCAAAATTGCGCGGATTTTGATGTCCCGTGCACCTTCGATCGCCCCGCAAAGCGCCGGGGCGTCAAGGCTGGCACGAGGGCTCCCATGCGCGAGACGCCTTTGGTGAATACCCCTGGCTCCGATCATGCCGTCCCTGTGGCCGCTGCTGCGCCGGCTACGGGGAGGACGTCGGGCTCTTCGGGTTCGAGAAACTCGTATTACCCCGAGTCTGCTCATCGCCCGTCGTTGACTGGTGATCCTTGGTCGACGTTCAACGTCGGCGGGGTAGCAACGGAAGGGTACGATGATGACGGCGCATTGCGCAACTCCTGGAACGCTTTTGCTATTGCCAGTGATCGCCAGATCCGAAACCTTGTCCAGGTCTATTTTGAGATCGTTTATCCCATGTAAGATCTGATCTATCATTCTTTTCATTTGATCGTGTGACTTACCGTTTCTTAGTTTCCCACTCTTCCATAAGCAATCTTTCATCGAAAGAGTACATAATCAAGAGCATCTGCGAGACCCAGGGCTATTCGCTTCAACTATGGCTGTCTGCGCTTTAGTCTCTGGTCGCGCACGAGATGGGGCGCTGTTTACCAATAGATGGCATCGGGATGAGCTTGCTGAGCCGCCATCAGAAGCCTTTTATGCAGCGGCCAAGGACTCCATTCCTCGCGACCTTGCCTCAGCAAAGGGCATGAATTTTATGCGCGCATGTGCCATTCTCGCTATTGCCAGTATTCAAAATGGCCAGATCAAGAACATGCAAAAGTTCTCCGGCATGTATCATACTCTAACCAGTATGGAGGGACTCCATGATGAGAAGCTGTGGCCGAAGCATTTGACTCCCATTGAAACCGAAGAGCGACGGAGACTGGTTTGTGCAACTTTTTCCCCAAATGTTACCTTTTACTAACTAGTCATCTGAAGTTCTGGTCTATCTACACTCTGGATATCTATTCCAGCATCGTGTGGGGCGGCGTAATTCGATATCGCGAAGCTCATTCTCTAGTTCGATATCCGAGTGAGGTTGATGACGAGTTTATCACAATACACGGCTACGGCTTGCCGCCCGTGTCTCCAGCCTCCAGCGTGCTCAGTCCGGGAGAAGTGACAGTAGTCTCACGGCAGCCCCTAGCATGGCTTCGCGGCTGGAACTTCACTACGGATCTCTATCGGATCCTTGAACATGTAGTAGATGGCAATCGGCGACGCTTCTCTTCCGCAAATGGGACTGCACAGGTGTGGTCATTGTTCAGCCCGGCATCTATGTCAGAAGAGGCAGTCATGGAGCGGGTCTATTCCATGTACGCCGCACTGCCATCACAGTTTAAGGAAACTCCTCCTACTACTGGCGATATGGCCAAGGATCTATTCGGGTTCCAGTCTGCCAATATCACGGCAACGTTACAGCTTCTCCGGATGGTGCTTCTTTCCGCGGAAGAGCTTGGTGTTGATCGCAAATGCAACGTAGCTGGAGAGCTGCTTAGTGTCTTCAGCAAGGTCCCTGTGGAGTATCTCAAAGCGATCAGCTCGCCTCTGGTATGTGCGAATATCCTTTTCTTGAAGAGCACTTTACTAACTGTTATCAGCTTCACCATCTCGGTGGAATAGGTTATATCCTCGGCTCCGTCATGGAAGGAAGTTTATCAGAAGCATCCTACCGACGAGTCCGCACATTGCTGTAAGCCACCCTCACTGACCTCAACCCAAAACCATCCAATCTAACAAAAGCCCCACCAGTCTCGAAATGGCCGACCTCCTCGGCCGCCTCGAAACAGGCCTCCAACGCGCAGCCGGCGCCAGCGAACGCCTTCGCTCACAGGTCGACCGAATCGACGGCTACATGACATCGCGGCCAATCAATCTCCAAACATCCCACCACGCCCCGAATACTAATGAAGTCCCCGTCGACGCGAAACCCAACATCACGATGACATCCGTACCATACGTTCCCCCAAGTGGTCCGCCAGGCCCGCCACCCGGCCCACCACCCAATGCTATGGGCGAACAGATGATGCAATTCCAGATTCCACCGGAGTTGTTGTCGGATTTTCCGTGGCCGCTGGATGGTGGGGGCCACGCGGAGGGTTTTCTGCCTATGGCGTTTGAATGATTGGGTTTTTATATTCGGTGGGTTTGGTTGGAGACTGGTTGTTTTGTAGGGAGTTGGGGGCATTTTGTCTTTCTCTGTTGATTTTTATTTTTATTTGAGGATTCAATATTTCGCGATTAGAGTAAGATAAAAGAAGTGTATTTTATCATTTGTTTATATCAAGGGGGTCTTGTGCGGATTGCGTGTTGAGGTTGGATGTGGCTGTAGATTTAGTTAGTCCTTTGTCAATATAATCAGGCTTAAGAAGAGATTCCCTCAGACTCACTTATTTAACTCGCTTCCTATATCTTTGACTTGGCTACACCACGCTGCGATCGATTGGGCTGTCTATACCTTCTCCACATATGGACGTGAAGTCTGGAACGAGGCCTGATGTTTAAACCAGAACCACAATCAATTATGGCTACATCGGAGACGAAACGAATGTCCAACTTGGTCCCTTTCACGTCATTTTCAAAGAGGCGTGGCCCAGGCTGGATCTGATGCATACAAGATCCTTGAGCCTCCCGTCGGGCTTTACTTCCTCTTTTCTTAATGATCCGTTATGACCCCCGCAGTAGACTGGCATGGGCCAATGCGCTATAATCAGACTAAAGTCCGACATTGCTAGCGCCTATAACCTTCGGCTTCCTTGCTCGCCAAAATGCGGGGTATAGAGGTTAGGTTTCCCTTTGGCTTCGTTTTTGCCTTCGCCGATCTTTACGGGAGGCGGATAAGGGGTCAGGACGGGAATGTTCCTGGGGATTATATAAGGCATTTAAGGCATTGGCCGTATCATATCAGGGTTGGGGTAGTGATTCTCGGTGAAGACATAGGGCAAGTTAGAGCTTCGCCTCGGGGATTTATGGGTTGATATATGTTAGTAGTCAACAGGTTTAATGCATATCATGTTTAGAGCAATTTAACCCGCAAGTAGCCCCTATTGTCTATCTTGTAGCATCAACACTAACTACTAAGTGTCTCTTATCAATACTGTAGCTCGTATGACCATAGCCCTGATAAGCTTATCACTTGGCAAACCCTTAGCATCGCCACCTCTTCCCCCTTTAGGGATCCCAGTCTTGTCTCAATCAAGCCTCTTATCATTCTAAGTTCACTCCAACTGCACGCCCGGCCCGCCTTCTTGGCTGTTTCCCGGTGTCACGATGCCTTCTGCAGTATCAGTGCTTGGCACTCTCCCCACCCATACTCTTTGCCAGTGGCCCCAAACCCGGCGTCAGTGCACGTATAAATGGCTATGCCGCCCCCCGGCCTTCTGGTCTATTTGGCGTCACTTCCAGCTCGAGTAGCATTCAATCATGGAGAACATGGAGAAAAAAGTCTCTGCAGAAATCTCCGATCCCGATCCCAAGGCGGATACTACTGTGGGTGATGTCTTGCCCTTTCGCCAGACACAGCGTGGTCTGGCTTCTCGACATGTGCAGTTGATGGCTATTGGTGGTTCTATCGGTACTGGACTGTTCGTTGGCATTGGTTCTTACCTGCGGGATGCTGGGCCATTGTCCTTGTTCCTGGGATATCTTGTTTGGGGATGTCTCTTCATTCTGCCTGTCAATCTGTGTGTTGGAGAGATGGCTGCCTATCTTCCCATTCGTGGATCAATCTTCGAACTTGCTGCACGGTTTATCGATCCGGCATTTGGATTTGCTATGTAAGTCTCTACCAGTCCGTTCGCTTCACTTTGGTCTGTATACTAACAATCCTAGGGGCTGGGTATACTTCTACGGCGGCGTAATGCTAGTCTGTACAGAATATTCCTCAGTAGCAACAGTCATGCAATATTGGAACACAAGCGTCAACCCAGCGGTCTGGGTAGCAATGGCCCTAGTCGTGTGTACGGTACTCAACCTCGTCGCGGTAAAATGGTACGGTGAGAGCGAATTCATCATGGCCTCAACCAAAATCCTGCTCCTCATTGGCCTCGTCCTCCTCACCTTCATCACAATGGTCGGCGGAAACCCCAAACACGACGTCTACGGCTTCCGCAACTGGACCGACGGCGTGATGTTCGAATACTACACAGACGGCAACACAGGTCGATTCCTCGGCTTCTTTTCTGTCATGGTCTACGCAGCCTTCTCCGTCGCCGGACCGGACCTTCCAGCCCTAGCAGCAGGAGAAATCCAGAATCCGCGCGTGACCATCCCTCGCGTGGTGAAGATGACTTTCTGGCGTATTGTCGGGTTCTACGTCGTCGGCGTCCTGGCTGTTGGAATCATCTGCAACCCCCGTGACCCTCGTCTCATGTCGGCTATTGACAATGGTGCCGCTGGATCCGCTGCCTCGCCTTGGGTTATTGGAATCGATAACCTCGGTATCCGCGGTCTACCAGATCTAATCAACCTACTGATTTTACTGTCCGGTTGGTCCTGTGGAAATGCCTATCTGTACAGCTCAAGTCGAACACTCTACTCCCTCGCCCGCGATGGCCAAGCCCCGAAATTCCTCTTGAAGTGTACTAAATCGGGCATCCCCATCAACTGCGTCATCACTGTCTCGGTTCTCTCATGCGTCACCTTCCTAGTAGCTGGCAGCTCCTCCGTCGAGGTCTTCTACTGGTTCGTCGACTTGACAACCATCGCCTTCGTGCTCACCTACACGGGTATGCTCTGTGTCTTCATTGCTTGGTACCGAGCCCTCAAAGCACAGGGTATTGACCGCAAGTCATTTGTGCCCTGGGCTTCACCTTTCCAGCCGTACGGAGCTATCCTGGCCATTATCATTGGTTGTTTGACGGCTCTTTTCAATGGTTTCTCAGTTTTCAAGCCGTTTAGCGTGCAGGGCTTTGTTACATCTTACTTCGGTCTTGCGTTTTGGGTTGTTATGTTTGTTTTCTGGAAGATTTTCCATCGGACTTCCTTTGTTAGTGCTATCAACGCGGATTTGTACTCTGGTAAGGCGGAGATTGATGAAGAGTGCAAGATCTGGGAAGAAGGCGATTGGGAGGAGAGGAGGAAGGCTGAGCTGGCTCAGATGCATTGGGTTCGGCGGGTTTGGGAGAAGATGTGGTGATTGTATCTTAAATAATGTCTTACGTTTATGTATGATGCTACCTTGTTATTCAAAACACTATCGTTGTCAGAATAGCCTTGACTAAGAAAAACTAGATACTCCTTCGCGAGTGATGTGGAATGGTCTACCTACGTATCAAATGCTACTTCTCTCCTGATAGGATGCCGCACTCGCCTCTATAAACACATTACCCTCGTTATACCTCATCTTCATTCATCATAATTCACACAATAAGATACTGATCAAACCAGGCAACAGCCTGAGCAAACACCTGCTCCTTAGCAAACTTCTGCCTCGGCTTAGACAAATCACAGCGAACAGCAAAGCCATGCTCTACATCCGAGAACAGATTGATCTGATGAGGCACATCCAACTTATCCAAAATCTCCTCACTTTCATGTCTTTTAGCAGACGTAAAAACGATGTCTCGAACTACACATAACAACAGAATCTTGTCAGAATACCCATTCCATATGATAAATGAAAAATCAACATACCACCAGCAGCAATACTTAACGGCCCCTTAATACCTTGCAAAGCCTGGGCCTCAACCATAGTTGGATGTGCCGTGAACCCAACATCAATCTTGCCGGGCTTCAAGTACCGGCAGACTTACTTGCCGCCAAAGCAATAGCCCACACCACCAATTCTCTCACAGCCGAGATCCTCCCGCATCGCTTTGAGGACGGTGTCGATTATTGGTTCCGTTTGAAAGGGTAGATGGTTCTTCACCCAGTCCATGATGCTGAAGCCCTCTGGTCTATTGATTGGGACTACATCGCCATTGAATAGATCCGGCATCATGACGAAGTATCCCTTCGAAGCGAATTGGTCGGCTATTAATTGCGCATTGATTAATCGGTGACCTATCACATCTGTTAGGATAAGGATCGCATTTTATGTAGATTTGTTTTCTGGGTACGCGAAGTAGGTTGAGACTGTACTCGATTAACGGTTGAATATATACGAGCGAAGTAGGTGATTTACTGTTGCCAACCTTTTTGATCTCGCCTTTTGCTTCACCATTGTGGAGGGATCCAATGGTACAACAGTAAGATAATTGATTGGATGTCATTTTCTCAGTTTATTTCGAAAGTGGTTCGACTGGGAGCTCTGGTTGAGTATAGAATATGGATTCTTCAGTGGAATATCGTACTATTCATATACAAAAAAAGCACTCGGAGATAGACAATATGCACTCCAACTCCAGTCCGTAAAATGCGCGAAGTCCAACATAACTCGAGTGAAGCAAAAGACGAGAAACGAAAGATCTACTGGACAAGTCGGAAATGAAGCACCATGATTGGCCAGATGGGGGCCGTGCTTAGGGACACGCACTCGGGCTTGGCGGATTCTGCTGGGAAAAGTTGCCCATCACAGCTTCGCCAGCTTAACAGCTTAACACACCTCTAAACACCACCATGTCGTCCCGCTCAGCATGGCGAGCTTTGCACTACAGCGCAAAGCGTCGCGCTTTCCAACCCCCCACCCCCTACCGCTGTTTCTCCTGCACCACCCGCGCCCAGAGCAAGCCAGAAGATGAACGCATGACACACTTCGGGTTCACGAATGTGCCCGAATCAGAGAAGGAGACACGAGGTAAGGACAGAACCCAGTCACCCAATTGACCATCTCAGCAATTGAACTAACCACCGCATCCACCCACAGTCGGCGCAGTCTTTAGCTCCGTTGCCGCCTCCTACGACCGCATGAACGACCTAATGTCCCTAGGCATCCACCGCCTCTGGAAAGACCACTTCGTGCGCTCCTTAAACCCAGGCTCGTGCCTACCAGCCCTGACAGCTGACCAACGTGGCTGGAACATCCTCGACATAGCCGGCGGCACCGGAGACATCGCCTTCCGAATGCTAGACCACGCAACAAACATCAACCACGACATGGAGACGCGCGTAACAATCAGCGACATCAACGCCGACATGCTAGCAGAAGGCCGCAAACGCTCCCTCGACACGCCATACTACAACACGAACCGGCTTTCTTTCGTCGAGGCGAACGCCGAGCACATGCCGCATATCCCGGACGCTTCCGTTGATCTGTACACTGTTGTGTTTGGAATCCGCAATTTCACGGATAAGCAGGCGGCGCTGAATGAGGCGTTCCGGGTTCTTAAGCCTGGTGGTGTTTTTGCGTGCATGGAGTTCTCCAAGGTTGATAACCCTGTCCTGGATGGGATTTATAAGCGCTGGAATTTTAGTGCGATTCCGCTTATTGGGCAGGTTGTTGCTGGGGATCGGGATTCTTATCAGTATCTTGTTGAGAGTATTGAGCGATTCCCTAGTCAGGAGGAGTTTAGGGGTATGATTCAGAAGGCTGGGTTTATGATTCCTGGTCAGGGCTTTGAGAATTTGACTGGTGGTATTGCTGCTATTCATAAGGGTATTAAGCCGATTGTTAAGGCTTGATTTGGGGATGTGGTGTGGTTGGGGATGGTGAGGTGAATAGGTTGAGAATATACTGTATATTTAGACTTCGCATACTGTTTGTATTATCAAGATATGTTATTGGGATTGATTTACATCGTGTATAATGGGACTGAGCCATGTGGCTTGGCTTCGTTGAACGTAATGTGCAAGAGCTGAAAATCTATGTAAACATGCAAAAGTAACAAAATGCGCGGGCGTAACATCGTCAACCAAAGGCATGGTGAAGCAGGTGGTATGTAAATCAAACAAATATTTCCAAGAGAACGGAAAAATGGATCGCTTTTCAGTGGATCACGCATCCAGAAGATCCTCTGCTTCCATCACTCCGATGCAACTGTCGGGGTAGTTCATGTCCTTCACTACAGCAACCACCGAGATTGGGTGCGGCCCATTTCGGGATGCAGATACTTTGTGTCGGAGATCGGCGAGCGGTGTTGAGTCTGGAACCAGGAGCCACCTGCTTCGATGGATGGTAAATGGAGTGTTAGGATTCTCGGTCATAACATCGGAAACACGCATATCCATGTTTCCACCCGGCGACAGCAAAGAGCGGGTCTGTCTGGGAGGGATGATTTCATGAGGTGACAAAAAGACCCATGATTTCGCATTAGGGTGCTGAATTGCTGTAAGGAGGATATCGAGTAATCGTACATCGCCAGGTGAAGATGACGATGGAGACGAGGCAGTAGGGATTTGGTCAAGTGAAATCAACATATCTAGAGAAATCCGGCGTTGCGCAGGTGGTTGTTGAAGGTTAAAAGGAGGAATCAACGAAGTACTGCCAATCTCTTCCCACGGAAGCGAGAGCGATACAGACGAGACCGGAGAGTCAAACGTTGTCGACACGCCACTCGAAGGCGTTGTCAACGGTGTACCCGCTGCAGCAGCGCCAATAGCACCACCAGGATGGAACCCTCGAAAGACCTCTGCAGGACCCTTGCCAGGAGTAGTATGCAGCTTGCGCGCTGTAGCAATCGCCAGCGCATCGCCTAGTGACAAAGCCACTGTCGTCGAGGAAGTGGGAGCGCTGACACCAAAAGAGGCATCTTCATCCTCATGAATGGGAGCAGGCAACAAAATGCCCATCCCAGAAGGCCCATGCAACGCGAGCAACGGACATGCGGACGGATGTATATGAGAAGTAAGAGCGATAATAGGCACCGTAGCAGGAATATGCGGAAGCAATAAAAGCAACTCAGGCGAACGACCCGAAAAAGAAATTAAAAGAATAGTATCATTCTGTACCAAAATGAAGTCAGTAAACGTATTCTTCAGGTTTCTCTGCCCAACACCGGTGCAGAAACCATCCGGGCCGCAATGCAGACTGCATGCAGGACTTTTGCTTACCGGCCGAACCAATCCCAGATCCCCATGCAAAGCCTCAGTCGGATGCAGGAACGCGCTGTACACGCCCAGACTATTCATCGTGGCCTCGATCTTGCGCCCAACCTTGCCACTCTTGCCCACGCCACAAACCACCAATTTGCCGCCATCCCGCACGCTGCGCGCAATCTGTTCTACGGCGCGGGCGAGGTCGTGCTGTGCTCGCGCATCGGTTTGGTAGATGTGTTCCAGGTGGGCGAGGGCTGCTCGCTCGGTTGAGATCACATGGATTGCTGTTACGACGGAAGAGACGTCTTTGGTTGTTTGGGGATCGGAGGAATCGGGAGGGGTGAGTGGCCATTTGAGGAGGCTGCGGCTGCGTTCTTCGGTCATGGCGTGAGATTAGGGATTGGGGGTTGGGGATTGGGATTGCTAGATCATAGTGAGGTGTCAGGGGTTGTACAGGGAGGGATTGAGGGACTGGAATTGAGTAGAGTAGCTTTCTGGGCGTCTCTCTTGGAGGGCCACAAGCCGGCTAATTGTGGAGAGATCAAAGATCAGTCGATAACGGAAGATAATGCGCGCCGTAGTGGGGGACCCGGCTATACTTCACTTCACTCCAAATACTTTACTACTTCACTACGTTAACGTTACTATTTGAGATTTTTTTTTTTTTTCTTTAACTCCGATTGTAAATCGTGTAGAGCCTTGATGGTGTCATTCTATGCTCGGATGGTGAATGTGGAGGCGACTCGCCTTTTCCAGTATTTCCGAGGCCGATTTATGTCCAAATCGAGAACGGAAGATTAGAAATTGATAGAAACCTAAATTATATAAGTGTTAGCCACGATGTACCTACATATAAAGTATCTAATTTATAGTCCAGACTAGATATTTGAGTAATACTCTATTAGATCTAGGTCTATTGAGTCGGATATAAGCCAAAAATAGTATGTACAACCCGTTAACCGTTTTATTCCGAGTGCGGGGATCAGGTCAAGGGCAAAAAGAGAACTCCAACTCCAGTAAATCAGTAAATCAGGCAGGCAGGGGTATCGTATCGGGATCGCTGAGGGTCATTATGTGTGCATTTCCTGGCAATCTTGTCGCATCATCCCGATCGTCCCTCCTGCCGCTCCTTGCCCTTCTCCATGCCGTCATCCTCATATAGATGGTGCTGCTCAATATAGTGAATGACGGGGACAGGGATGAGGTAGCGCACACTCATCTCACGTCTGAGGAAGAGTCGGATCTTGGTGCTACTAACATCATTCTGGATGAGTTGCTGGATAACGTGAATATTGTCCTTCCAGGGTTGCAGGCTGGCCAGAGCCTCATCGATATCCGTGCCACTACGCTCGACAATGAAGGACTGAAATTATGTTAGCGGGCCATATCTTTAATAGCAAAAGTAAACGTAATCCAAGGCCAACTTACTCCGTATTTGCCCAGAATGTGGTCCAAATCCTTCTCACTCCACACGCCAGGCGTGGACATGGTATGGATCAGATCCGCGCCCGCAAGCAGAGCAATGCGGACGGGCTTCCGGGTTCCATTTCCAGTATCCACGCCTTTACGCACAGTATTGATCTCATGGTCGAAATGGTCCAACACAACCGCGGTCGGCTGGTACTCCTTCTGAATAGGCTCCCATGTATCCACCATCAACCAGTCGGAGGTTTGATCAACCGCGAGTTGGCACATAGCCACCCTGCACAGTACAAGTTAGCCGAGTCGGATGGTAGAGAGCGGGAATCCCCTTACCGGTGCTCTGCGCTGGCGAGACCCGCCTTGCGATAGGCATCGGACACAGGCGACAGGTATCCTCCGATGAGTTCAAAATCAGAACTGAATCTGACGTGATCGGCGGCCATTTCGAACATGCGCAGATGGAGATAAGTAATGGGAGAGAAAGAACCACATGCGACCAGCAAGAGGGGGGTCTTCTCCGGGTCGCTCATCGTGCGCTTCAAGCGCAACTCTGGGAATGTGTACTCCTCCATCGGAGTGGGGTTTAAGCGGGCGGGCGCCTGGTGAACGTCGTCACTCTGCCCTCCGACCATTTCCGTTGACATGTTGGAAAATGCGGAGAGAATATAAGGTCAAAGTCCGGGGTAGTTGAAGGGGAGAAAAGTTAAGTTGGGTGGACGAATTCTCTCAATGGCGGGGGGGCGAACCGAAGGCGGCAAGGAATGCTCCGGCGAGAATATAAGAATATAAGAAGGAGAGAAGTCGCTTTCTTTTCTTTTTTGGCCCTGAAGATGAGATTCCGTGATTATTAAGTGTTGGCTTCATCCTCGGTGAGTCAATTGAGGGCTCGGGGCGCCTCCGTGATCTTCTCTCCGGATCGAAGGCCGGACTTTGAAGCTAGATCCTGAGCCTATATACATACTAGACTTTACTGTACTATATACGGTGACTCGGTCTACTAGGTACTCCCAGGCCAGATACAAATGTGAACATGTTACTAGTGCGTTGTAATAGTGCAAATAGTCAAACAGTCCAATAGTCAAACATTGGAAATATCCCTGAGTGGACTCGTCTTATATCATCGTTGCTCTCCGCCTATGTCCGTCACCACTTTCCACTTCTCCTTCACCATCTTCCACTTCCAGTCCATCTTCCTTTTCAACTTTTGCTTTCCACCTTTGATCCCATTGACAAGTTTCCCTCATTCTCTTCAGCTCTCCCGAGCAAGGCGGATGGCGGGTTGATGTGACGAACACTCAATCGAGCTCTCCAGACCCAATAACTTATGGCCAGACAAAGGCCCTCCTCCAACCGCCAGGACCCTCTCGAGGATTATCCCACTTCCCCAGGCACTTCCACGGCCTCTTCTTCCCTGAGGTAGTTTCCCACCCACTCTGTCTTCCAAGCCCTTCCCCAACTCTCACTAGGAGAACCTTGTGGATGACCCTGAGAGCACGTTCCATCATTCAGTTGCTTCAGTTCGGGGACAAACAACGCATCCTTGGTTATTGCTACCATTGCGAGCATTGTCACCTTTCTACCCAATCTGCCTTATCGCTTTGACCGCTCTACACCTCTCTTTCTCTTTCTGTCCCCTCATTTCACATATTCACCGTGGACTCTTTCTCATGTCATCCAGAATCACTCGCTCAGCCGCGAGACTCGCGACAGACCCTCCTCCCCCTGCTGAGTCCGGTACCCAACCCGCCGCTGGCTCGGCTTCATCCCGCAAACGCAAGGCATCCTCTCGCCACGATCGACAGACCGACACTCCGGCCCAGCCATCGCCTCCATCTCCTCAACGGAAGCCCAAGCGACCACGTACGGCTGCCCCACCGACAGCGCCATCTACTGGCTCTGTTGCAGCTCCCCGCCGCACTCGTCGTGCAACCATGTCACAACCCGGGTACGTGATGCTTACCCTTACTGTTTGATGGGCGGTGCTGACAAGAATTCTATGTAGCCCGTCGTCCCGACCAGAGGAATCCAAGTCGGCCACTTCTCCACAGCCCGCCCGGAGAAAGACAAGTCGGAGCGGTGAGTTTTGTTGATCACCATCCGTCCTTTAAACGGCTACGGATATCCCTACTTGGTAGATGCTGATGTCTCTCTCATCCTATAGATCGACCCGGAACCACACAGTCTCCCCCGCCCCGGCGTCAGAAGAAGCGTACGACGAAGACAAACCCTGATGTCATAATGCGAGATGCGGAGGAGGATCTGGAGGAGGAAGATCAAGAAGAACAACAAGAAGAATCCCCAACGGAAGAGAGTCATGATGGCACCAACCCGTCCGCCTTTGACGATGACGATATGGATCCCTTCGCCAACAGCTTATTTGGTGGGCGAGGTCCCATGGGCCTTCAGAGCACCCTCCGTGCCCTCACTGGTATGATGTCCGGCATGTCTTCCCGACTTCGCGATATTCTCGTCAACCTGCGGGCAAAAGACGACCCATCCATTCAACTTATCGCCCTTCAGGAGCTCTCGGATCTGCTACTTGTATCAAATGAGGATAATCTTACCGGACAATTCTCCCCCGACCCGTACGTCAAGGAGCTTGTGACCTTGATGCAGCCGAATCAGTTCGGCGAGGAGAACCCCGAGATCATGCTTCTCGCCTGTCGCTCCCTTGCCAACCTCATGGAGGCCTTACGGGGCTCCGTAGCCAACGTTGTTTATGGTGGGGCCGTGCCAATCCTTTGCCAGAAGCTTCTTGATATCCAATTTATCGATTTGGCCGAGCAGGCTTTGAGCGTGAGTTGTTCTGATTTATTCATCTGATCCCTTCCACTAACATATTACATAGACATTGGCTAAGATCTCAGTCGATTTCCCTGCCTCAATTGTGCGGGAAGGTGGACTGACTGCTTGCTTGACCTATCTCGACTTCTTCCCTACCAGCACTCAGCGAACAGCAGTTACAACAGCCGCAAACTGCTGCCGCAATCTCCCTCACGACTCGTTCCCTGTTGTACGCGATGTCATGCCCACCTTGCTAAATGTTCTGTCCAGCAATGACCCCAAAGTTGTTGAGCAAGGTTGTCTCTGTGTGTCACGGATTGTGGAGAGCTTCAAGCACCGCCCTGAGAATCTGGAGGAACTGATTGAACCTGCCATGCTCAAGGCTGTCCTTCGGCTGCTACTGCCAGGGACTACGAACCTCATCGGTCCTCACATCCACACACAGTTCCTTCGAGTTCTGGCAATCATCTCCAAGACCAGCCCTCGACTGTCAAATGAACTTTTCAAGATGGATGTAGTTGATACTCTTTATCAGATTTTGACGGGTGTTTCTCCCCCCCAGGACGTGGACAGCACCGCTGTCAAGATGGACAGTGTGCTGGTCATGCAAGCATTGATCCACCGACCCCGCGAGCAAGTCTTCGAAACTCTCAATGTTATCTGCGAACTACTGCCCGGTGTTCCTAGTCGAGAGGCCTCACGGACGGACGCCCTTCTCAGCTCATACTTTGACAGTAGCATGTCTATCAACCTGAAATCTTCCAAGACTAAAGATGCAGTAGAGGAGAGACGATTGCTGCTCGACAACTGCAAGACTCAGCTCAAGCGATTTGCCATGATCCTTTTCCCCACCTTGACCGATGCCTACTCTAGCACGGTCAATTTACATGTCCGCCAGAAGGTTCTTATTGCACAGCTGAAGATGCTGCACATTCTGGAGCCTTCCTTGATTGAAGATGCCCTCCGAACCGTTCCATATGCCTCCTTCCTAGCTTCTATCCTTTCTCAGAAAGATCACCCATCCCTCGTGTCCCTAGCTCTACGTTGCTCCGAGCTTCTGTTCCAACGCCTTGAGCATGTTTACCAACATCAGTTCCATCGGGAAGGAGTCATCTCAGAGATTGTCAAATTGTCAGAGGGCACTCTCTCCGGCAATGAGCCTCCTGCCACATCCGACCCTGCCGATGTGGAAACCAGCGCAAATCCCTCGCATTCCCACCGCGCAGAGAATGCATCCCATCAAAATGAAGATGAGGACCAAGATGAGGATGAAGCCGATGACTACGATGACGGCGATGGCGAAGATGAAGACAACGAAGATATGTCTGATTCCGATGAAGACTTGGACCCGGGCCCGCGGAGTATCGAGAAAATGGACAGCACCATCAATGATCTTATCATTCGAGATGCGCAGATGTTCCTGGAAAGCTATGAAGAAAGCCATGGCGGAGCAGTCCGAGCAGAGGCCCTTAGAATCTTGAAGGAACTTCAATCTCTGGCCGCTGATGTACGCACATGTTATTCCAACGGCAACGGCGATGGCCATGCCTTGTTCAAAAGGCTTGCATCATACTTTGTCGGGGACGCTTTGGAGAGCATCACCAGCTCCGAACTGCTCAACTCAGGCATTGTAGAGGTCCTCCTGGATGTTCTCGGTAATTATCAGGCCCCATCCATCCGCAACGCTCGAGCTGCTTTTTTGCAAGCCTTCATGGGGATTCCAATCTCGGAGAAGGCTCAGAGACAGAGTACCGCAACCACCCCTTTCAGCGTTTTGATTCGAAAGTTACAAGACTTGCTTAGTAGGACTGAGCATTTCGAAGTTTTAACTGTCAGTCATAACTCCCTGGAAAACACACGCAGCAATGCCAACTACATGTTGAGCAAACAGCTGCGACTCAAGTTGGTTGCGGATGACGCCTCTGAGATCCCTCGCCCTTATCGAAATCTCATGGTATCCATTCACGCCATCGCAACCTTCAAAGCACTGGATGACTTCCTCCACCCTCGGATCAGCATGTCTGAGCGTCCTCGACCGTCACGACCTAGGGATTCTATCCTTTCTCAAATTGCCAACGCAGCGCGAATGCGTGATCAGCTCCCTGGCTCCATCCCCTCCCGACATCCACCAGGGACCATCCTCCCTAGTCGCGCAGGAGGCCCTCGTGGGCTCGCCGCCGACAATGCTGAAGAAGGCGATACTCCTGCAGCTGTACGTCGCCGATCTCGCCGCACGGCCCTTCAAGAAGAGGAAGAAGAACATGACGACGAGCCTCTTGAGTGCGCGGATGAGAGACAGTTGACCGATGAAGAAGATGAAGAAGAAGAAGACGATGAAGATGAGGAACTCAATGCCATTGTTGATGATCTCGATGAGGATCTTGAGGACGATGGTGTCTCCGACCCCTCCGCAGTCAACATGGAAGTGGCGTCTTCGGGCAAGGTCACAGCTCGCAAGGAGGATGGTACCCGCGTCGGGACTCCTCACGGTGCAGCCTCCAATTCTTCGGCTTCAGCCCCGAGCGTTGGTTCTTCCAACCCCATGGGCAACGCATCTCTGGCTACTGCTGGCCGTCCATTCTCATCCTACGCTGCTGCGATGGCTTCCGTCCCTCAGGACTGGCACATCGAGTTCCTTGTAGATGGCCAGCCAATTTCAAGCGAGACCACAGTCTACCGTGCTGTACACCACAACCGTGAGCATTTGGATGAAAACAGTGCCAAGAATGTCTGGTCTGCTGTCCACACAGTCACATTCAGACGCGTCCCTGGCCCCCCACCTCCAGAGCCATCGACTCTCATCCAGGTCAACCAAGATCCATCCAATGGTGACAGTCTCGATATGCCCGCATCTCTCGACAAGGACAAAACCACAGCATCCATTCTCTGTTTGCTTCGTGTCCTGCACGAAATGAATGCGACAATTGACGATATTCTGACAGAGAACAAGGAGTCGATTAAAATTACCCCAGAGCCCCTTGCCCAGTTTATCAACACAAAGCTCACGGCCAAGATCAACCGACAGCTGGAGGAGCCATTGATTGTGGCAAGTAGCTGCCTTCCAAGCTGGAGTGAAGATCTAGCCAGGCTCTTCTCATTCCTGTTCCCATTCGAGACTAGGCATTTGTTCCTGCAATCAACCGCCTTTGGCTACTCGCGAGCAATGATGAGATGGCAAAACTCCCAGAGCGAGGATAGCCGTCGCGACATGCGCCGTGATGATCGCCCATTCCTCGGTCGACTGCAACGCCAGAAGGTGCGCATTTCCCGCGCTCGCATCCTTGATTCTGCTATGAAGGTCATGGAGCTGTATGGCTCTTCCCCTAGTATTCTCGAGGTTGAATACTTTGAGGAAGTTGGTACTGGCCTTGGCCCCACTCTTGAATTCTATTCTACTGTTTCCAAGGAGTTCTCTAAGAAGAAGCTGAAGATTTGGAGAGAGACTGAAGGTGCCTCTTCCGGAGCGGAATACGCATTTGGAAAGCGTGGCTTGTTCCCTGCTCCCATGAGTGATCAGCAGGCAGCCCAAGATTCCGGCAAGAAGCAATTGAACATTTTCAAGGTTCTTGGAAAGTTCGTTGCTCGCTCTATGCTCGACTCCAGGATCATCGATATCTCATTCAACCCAGCATTCTTCCGCATCGCCGATACCCTGTCTTCTGTAGCCCCATCTCTGGGCACTGTGAAGTTGGTTGACGAGGACCTTGCTAAGTCTTTGATCATGCTCCAGCAGTTTGTCCATGCCAAGGATGCAATTGAGAGCGATAACACCCTCAGCCCCGGCCACAAGACAGAGGCTGTGCAAGAGATCACAGTGCATGGTGTCAAGGTCGATGACCTGAGCTTGGACTTTACGCTCCCCGGATATCCCGCCATTGAGCTTATCCCCGGTGGCTCTGATGTGCCGCTGACCATCGAAAACGTCGATACATACATTGAGCGCGTGATCGACATGACCCTAGGAAGCGGTGTCCGTCGTCAAGTCGATGCCTTCCGCACGGGTTTCTCTCAGGTCTTCCCATACTCTTCTCTTCGGGCCTTCACTCCTAGCGAGCTTGTCATGCTTTTCGGACAGGCCAAGGAAGACTGGACTATTGAAACTTTGATGGATACCATTAAGGCTGACCATGGCTTCAACATGGACAGCCGGAGTATACGCAACCTGCTCCAAACCATGAGCGAGCTGGATAACCAGCAACGCCGAGACTTCCTCCAATTTGTCACAGGTAGTCCTAAGCTTCCTATCGGAGGTACGTTCCCCATCTTTTCTTGTACAGAAGTAACCCAGCTAACAATATATCCACAGGTTTCAAGAGTCTCACACCTATCTTCACTGTCGTGTGCCGTCCAAGCGAACACCCCTACACCCCAGATGACTACCTCCCCAGCGTGATGACCTGTGTCAACTATCTCAAACTCCCCGACTACAGCGACCTGGACGTTTTGAAAAAGCGCCTGTCCGTCGCTATCAAGGAAGGCCAGGGAGCCTTCCACCTCTCCTAAGCTGAGATCGCAGTCACGAGATCATTGCCTGATTTGAATTCAATTTTGTTTTCAGAGTGAACTCGCAACCCGATTTCTGCCCTCCTTCTTCATCTACCCATCTACCCTGATCCATTGCTTCCAATGTTGCTTCCTCTTTTGCCTTCTCAACCAAGGCAGAGAACGCCCCATTTACGATTCGACGATGTCTGATTTACTTGTTTTGAGCTCTATCCCCCATTATCAAATTCCCCCATTCTCTTGCCTTGTTTTTCCCTTGACAAATCCCCCATTCCCAAGTTTTCGGACGGGCTGTTTCACCCCTTTCTTTGTTTCTTTTGGCACTTTTGTTTTCATTGTATGCCATCTGGGTTGAAAGGCGTTGTGGTGAACTTTCCCTTTTCGATAGTGATTAGATAGTAATCATCACTATTAAAAACAAAATCCCTTAGGTTTTTTTCGGCGTAAATGGTGGAATTTGGTCAGTAGTACTAGGTTGCGTAACCCGAGTCACTTCGTTCATTCTGGAGTCAGGGTCGCTTGGGGCTTTAGGCTTCGGGCTTGGGGTTTGGGGTTTCGTGCTTATGATGTCGTTTTTCTAAGGCTCATGCACTGGGGCAACTTCTGGCGTGAATCAGATATCTCTGGCCAATTAACAGCTGAACAACGCCTTACTATGAGAGGGACATGGGTTGTCATAACCAACGCAAAATTTACTACACTAGGTACGAATCTACTGCTGCCCCTATACAATGATATCTCGATACCCGTGCAATAATTTAGGCGAATCAACATTTCTCATTCTGGTACGGTACAAAAATGTCGATCTATGTGCTAAGTGGATCATATGTCTCAGTGTGCTATGAGGCTTGGTAAGTTATTGGCTTTTGGATGTTTCGCACTACTTTCTTGTTACCATCACAATTATTTTCCACAACGGGTGTCTGTCGGCTGAAAGAACGTATAGTTGGCGACTACCTGCTCTTTTGATACCTCATCGAGTCGGGTGAAGCTTTTATGAAGAAAAATTAGAGTAAACTTTACTGGAATATGTGTAGTTTTAGTCGTGTTAAGCAACGGCAATTTTTCAACTCAATCTGGGCATAATGTTGAAAAATGGACATCAAGGAAAAAGGAAAGTGTTTCTTTTGTATAGTAACGTTACTGTATAGACCTATTGTAGTTAGTTCTTCTGCCTTTCGAACACCTGCTCCGCTCGATCCACTTTTGAGAAGAAAGGGAAGCCACTTACGTTTGCAATTGTCTGTCAGGAATGTACTGTAATTGTGGGTTGTATTGTGAAAATGTTGCGTCATTGGGCCAAGTGGCCATTTTCTAAACTTCCAAGGAGATGAGTGATTAATATGTACACAGAATGAAAGGCGACATCCAGGCAAGGGCTAGAGCTCCAGTCCATATACCGGACTTCAATTATAAAATTGACATATTCCAGTTCGCTTCATGGCCAACTTTCAAGACAAACAATGTGTCTTAAGGAAACAATCACAGTCCACGCAACAAGTGATATGGCTAGTCCTACCAAAATCAGAGTAAAATAGCCCAACCATTACCCACGCCAGCCAATTCTGACGAGCAAACTGATCCATAACATAACGAATGCCTTCAGTGCGATCGAGAAGGTTATCGCTCATATCGATTTTCGTAAACAGTTGAAGATTCGACAGTTCCTTTTCTGGTACTTTTCGACACATAGCGATCGTTTTGGTCTCCGAGAACGCAAAAGAAGTGCCGAAAATAGCATAGAGTCGAGCCATCGGATGTTGATTCAATGATTTCCAATCTTTTCTCACCCAGCGAGGTCGTATTTCCCAAGGGAACCGACGAATTTTCATCAATGATTGCCTCCATGACTCGAAGTTCAACCGAGACCGGACTCCACTGACGGCGTGAACACAACCGTGTGAGCCCATGGCCAGATGACATAGTAGACGATCGGCTACTACATCGACAGGGACTTCATCGCCAGTGACATCCGCCGTTGGATCTTCCATATTTGTTGCAATCTTGAGACTCCGAGATGGGGATAGAGCAAGTCCTGCGGCAATCACTGTATACGGCGACGACATGGGCATGTTGTACCCTGGAAATGGTAGGCACTGAGCCGGTCCGATAACAGATGGACGCACAATAAGGAGTTTCTCACTTGAAGAAAATTCAGTGAATCGACTTTTGAGCATTCTCTCAGTGAGGTGTTTGGCATAGGCATATGCCCAAGGGAAGTTTTCCGCTTCATATGCTTGGCTCTTGCCATGTTTTCGAAGTTCATTCAGCTCGTCGAAGGCGTGGTAGTGGTGTTGAAGTTCGTATATCTTTTCGTCGATTTTCACGTCTGTGTTTTGACTCCGTTGATAGAGGTGTGCGTTGGCATATGCGGTAGAGACGTACACAAAACGGTCGAGCTGGGTGCATGAGAGAGCAAAATCGGCAATCGTTTCCGTAGGTTCGATGATTGTTCGAGCCAGGCGGTTTACTGGCTTTATCATATTGATCGAGGAGGATGCATGGATGATGACATGGATATTGTTGCGTATGGCATTCAAACCTGGGTCTTTGAGCCCCAAATTGGGTAGTAGAATGTCACCATCAAGGACAACCAGGCGAATTGAATGGTGCAGCCTTTCCAATGTGCCATGGGGAAGCCATTTTCTCCACCTGGTTTGAATTTTCCTGTATAAACAAGATTAGAGTGATATCTTGCGTGCGATAGATAAACTCACTCCTTGCCACCTCTACAGATTAGATAGATACATGATACCGATGTGCTGGTGAGCAGGCGATGAACGATTGCTGTACCCAAGAATCCAGATCCACCTGTCACTAGGATTGATTTCTCATTGTAGTACTCCCACATGTCGAGGTTGTAAATTTGATAACTTTATGGAGCCAAGAGCCATATTCTTGGCAGAAGGGTCAAAGCAGTCTCAAGTATTGAACTTTATGGGCTTTATTTACCACGTGTGGTCCCTGATTCTTGTTAATCCCTAGTGTGAGGTCATTGCAATTTAGAGTTGCCTCCTTAGAGCATACCATCTGTCTTCTGCGCCGCCATGCCGTGTCTTGGAATGATACGTATCGCGATCCCTTGCATAGAGCTTGGACTAGGCTGTCAATCATTAAAAACGCGTAGATCTGGTATCTGGTTTAACCTCTTTCATTCCAGGCAATAGCTTCCCATGGGCAAGATGCGTGGGGAGAAGTATGGAGGGGCTTCCCTCTATTGCATGGGGCGTAGATACTGAAACCTGCATTCCATATAGCGTATGGATCCACGTGGAATCTTTCCCTGCTTTCTCGCATTGTTTCCATGTTTCGAAATATGAGTCGGTCTGGCTATACTATGTTAGTAAGGAAGGTTATAGTTCAGACTACATACATTTCATTATAACCATCAAGTTATCCTATCCTTGTTTGTCCTGGGAAAGCAGTAATCATCATCACTAAGTATCAGTAACGTGGGACACGAACATCAGACTACAACCTTGACGCAGTTCACAACCGTCATTAAATGGTATTCAAACTAAACCAATAGTTTGCCTTCAAAGTTAGGTACTGATTTAGGAAAGAGCAGCCATGTTATGGCTTTTACAAAATTTGAATTGCGACTACATTTTCACATAGTGATTAGCTGCACGTACAGAGAGCACTAGGAGATGGGTACTAGATATGTAATTCAACTAACAATACCCATGCTTGTTTGGCTGCAAAAGCCGAATCAGTAGCGAGGAATATATCGGTGCATTTCAACATCATGCGTTTTCACTCAAATCTTCCCCTCGTAATGCATCTGAATGAGCTATCCCCAGCGAGAAGATCAATATTGAGGTTTCATATCTTTTTTTTTTGCAAGAGTTATATGGAAGCAACTGTTTTGAGACTTTTATACTTGGAAATAAAAAAAAGATAGGGGCTAGTTTGGCTATCACTAATTCAGGATAGTAATCTGGAATCTACGAACATTAACGTTATACGGTAATTCGAGGGTTAATTGATCTTAAAGTGTGATTACTTGTACAAATGGTAGGAAGAATTATATCAAGACCGTCTTGGCCGCATGTGAAAATGATATTAACAACCAAAGCATCCTCATATATTAATTAACACATTCTATCGTTGTATTACATTCCATTATATTCCACCGTATTTTGAAGATCTGAAATTACTCGGCCTTCTCATGGACCCAGTTCTCAAGAACTTTGTCCATCATATCACCCTCAAGCAAGTTCTCATAGACGATGCCAACCCAGCCACCGATGGTCTTCTTGCCCTCGGTGGGGAGACCATTCTGGTGGTTGTACAAAGGATCATCCATGATGCCATAGTGAGCAGGCACATTAAGCTTCGTGCGAACGTAGTTATATAGCTGAGAAGTACCATCACCAAGCTGGGAGGCAACATCCTCGGAAGAAATAGTGGGGTTGGGGTAGTACATAGCATCGGCAGTGGCGGACACAATGCTGTGGAAGTTCTTCTTAAAGGCAATGATCGTTGAGGCGGGACACTCGGGCTTGTTGGCGGCCATGAAGTCGCTAACGGGCGACATAACTGCCTCGGCAACAGACACGACACGGTCCTTCCAGGTGTTGGTGTTGGCCTTGTACCAGTTCTTCTCGATAATGGGGAAGAGGGACTTGCTAAGAGCCTCAATCTGCTCAGCGGACAATCCGAGGCCGTGCAGGGCTCCGAATTCGGAGGCGTCCTCGACCTTGGTGCGGAGAGTAGAGAGGAAGCGCTTGTGGTTTGCGCGGATTTCGGCAGCCTGGCAGCAGACATAGATGTGGCAGGCGCTCATGTGGGCCAAGATATCGGCGGCCTCCATAGTGCGGCGGGCAGAAATCAAAGCAAGGGAGTTGATACCCTGGTTGTGCATCTCGGCGGACATGACGTGAGCAGAGACGGGGTGGGCCAGGGCAGCCAACTCGGACATGTAAGCGGACATGTTGATATCGATACCCTTCATAGTAAAGCCTTCCACGGCACTGGCGTTAAGGTTGGCCTCGAGACCGTTGTTTGTAGCGGGGTTGATAATCTCAGTAACCTGGGACCAGAGCATGCGTCCAATCATTTGAATGGCCAGACGGGCCTTGTCCATAGCGGAGGTAACAGCGGTTGCTTGGAAGTTTCCACCGTTCAACACCTGGCCGCAAGTGGGGCTCTCGGGGTTGGTGTCAACCAGAGGGTTGTCTGATGTGGAGTTGAGCTCAGTCTCGAGCTGCTGTTGGGCGAGGAGGAGGTCCTCAAGATATGGTCCAACCCATTGGGGAGCCGTTCTTGTGGAATAACGGTCCTGGCAGAGACCTTCGCCGAATTTCCTTTGCGACTCAAGGCCAACAACATACTTAGAGCCCTTCAGGAAGCGGCGGATGTTGTTTGCGGCCTCGATTTGACCAGGGTGGGGGCGAACGTCGTGGATGAAAGGTTGGGTCCACTCGACGTTTCCGGCCAAGCACTCGGAAGAGAACGCAGTCAACATCTGAGACAGCAATGCGAGCTGCTGAGTATCATACAGCGCCAAGCTGGCGACTGCTACGGAAGGCGCAGTACCGTTAATGAGGCCAAGTGCTTCCTTGGGACCGAGTCCAGACGGGGCAAGCCCGGTGATCTTCAACGCCTCTGAAGAGGGCATAATCTTGGCATCGGCACCCTTGCCCATCTGGACAAAGACATCGGGGTTACCCATGATAGCTCCAGCAATGTAAGCCATGGGCATGAGATCACCAGATGCGGAGATGGTTCCACGAAGGGGAATGAGGGGGGTGATATCGTTCTTGAGCAAGTCAATCAAGCTCGAGAGTACGGACTTGCGGATGGCACTGTGTCCACGGAGGTTCTGGTTGGTACGGGCCACAATAGCGGCACGAGCCCAGGCGGGAGGCATGACATGGGAGGGCTGACGCTCCGAGTTGCTGGCGGGGTTCTTGTCAGCGGAAGTGACGATTCCACTCTGAATGAATTGGAGCAGATGTGTTTGCAGCTTCACAAGCTCCTTGGTTCGGGTGTCAGCACTGCCACCGAAGCCAGTGTTGACACCGTAGATCACACATTCTTGCGCGATGTTATCGGCGAGGGTTTGAACGGAGAGGTCAAGACGCTTGGCAATCGCTTCGTCGTCGCTGATGGTAGGCTCGACTCCGTGGCGGGCCACGGAGACGATGGTAGAGATGTCAAGGTTGTTGCCATCGAGAACAATGTTCTCCTGCTTGTTCTTCAACTCACGCGCACGTCTCAACAGGTGAAGAGTGGCGCTCATGTGAGCCGACTGGTTGTGCCTTGTCACGGTCATGATGGGCAGACAGCAAAGGATCCAATGCCTTAACTAGAGGTGCTGTGTTATAGTTTGCTCAATTGGGGTATCCAAACGATAACAGGGATCCGAAAGAGAATGCAAAAGCTAGAGGAATGCAACAAAAAGAGAAGAGGAATGGAGAAAGGAGAAAAACAGGGAGAGCGGAGAGCCAGGTATCTATTGTCTCCTTATTTCCTTGACCGAAAATAAAAAATATGGTCAGTGGAAACCGGTTCACAATGATAGTGGAGTAGAGTTCCTCAGCTGAAGCTCCCAGGTGGATCTGATTCAGTGCCGCCATCGACATCAGCGCGTATTTTAAGCCCCACCCCTGGGCAGACCCACTTTCAGCTTAGCTCACTGGGCCCACATATGGCGCTAAACGTCCATTTTGGGCTTAGCCAAATGCGGATCATTACCCACATGGGCATCAACCAAGATTGAATTTGCGATCGGCGATATGCGGCCTTTTACACAAAAAAGATGATCTGAAGATCTGAACCACGACGTGCCGTGTACGGTGGGTCGATGAAAAGGGGCAGAGATTTTCTTACACTAGTATTACATATAGCCTATCGGACCCATCCGCAGTCCAAACAATTGTCAACAAGAACTCCCGATCGGATCAGATCGGCTTCCTTGCGGTTCTACAGTACACTGGTTGAACTAACTTCGCTCGCGCGTTCTAGCGCGTATTACCCACTCCAAATAACCCACCTTGTTTGGACCTCCTTAAATCACATTCTATCGTCTCAGTCCTGAAAATACATGTAATGGAAATCTTGTGAAAATGGCGGAGCTCTCACCTATTACCCGATTGAGTTTCCCACTCCGAGATCGACTCCCTTTGTGCATCACCACAGCTCAAAACAAAGAGCAGTCGCTTTCTCGATAGCATTGTCAAAGAGTCTGGGATGGGAAAAGCTCTAGAAAAACTGGGTGTTCCATTGCGTAATATGAGCATTGCAATCTGCCCTTCCTCGATAAGCTGTTTAGGCTAGCGATTTGATGGTCGATCGCGGTCTCCCCCCAACAAACTCAGCCAGCCATTCACGTGCATTTTCTAACCACGAGTTCCTTGCTGGGCCTACAGATGGGTTGTTAGCTGTTACAGGTACAGTAGACTCGTAAATCCGGTATATGTAAATGTACTGTGAGTGGGGACCTCACGTTCTATAGCATTTCATTGGCAGGATTCTTGATGGAGGTGTCAACCCGTAAATCCGGTTATTTGTTTTCGCTTTTCGTCGGAGCTTTCCATGGAGGGTCAGTGCGACGGGATATGCGTTTTGCCTTCATCACATCACCCATAGTCGCGCAACACCAAGGCGGAGCTCCCCTTTCTCAGGCACCGACCACCAGCGAGTCCTGACACAATTACACATGTTTTTTTCTCCTATTTCTTTTTTCGTTTTGGGATTGTTTTGGTCAAAATTTGCGTCAGTGGAGCTGTATTAAAATGTGCTGAAAAATAGAAGCGTGCTTTTCCTTTTCTATAAACCCAACGCCGCTGAATTTACTGTATCATACGGCTCATTGTAACTCAATCCAATCTGATTTTTGACTGCTAAATAAATAATGGCGAGCCTTCCATTGGTAGGTGTTATCCGTCGGGGTGGATATTATGCATATGTCTACGGCTGAGGCCGTGGATTGACATGTACATGTACACATATGTACAGTAGTTCACGTTATGCACTAAAATCTTCTTGGCCTTATTATGTGGTGGAACCCGTCATGAATTGATCTTCAATCTTTACCCAAAGGGATGGAAACTCCTTGCATATAGATGTACATGTACGGAGCAATCCTGTAACCCACAAAAGTACTTTTCACTCATCCGTTCACCACGACTCCACCGTTGGGGTGCAAACTTTGACCTGAGATAAAACTGCTGTCTTGACTTGCTAGGAAGACAAAGCATGTTGCAACCTCACTCGGTTGTCCAGGGCGACCCATCGGAGTGCCACTAAATTGCTCCATAGCGGAGCTTGTCATTGTTGCTGGTATCAGTGGAGTCCAGACTATTTTTCTGTCAGTGCTGATCAAACTATGTCAAGTCTATTGAACCTACCTGGTCCGGGACAAACGCAGTTTACACGTATTCCATTCTTCACTTGCTGATTAGAGAGCGCTCTGGTGAATGCAACGATTGCACCCTTCGTTGAAGTATAGTCAAGCAAGTCGGGACGCCCGATATAATGGTTGACTGAAGCGCAGTTGATGATCGTCGATCCATTCTTCAGGTAAGGGATCGTATACTTTGAGAGATAGAAGACGGGATGAATATTAGTGTCAAATGTGCTTTCCCATTGTGCTCTATCTCAACATATTAATACCAGAGTAAGGGATTGGGAGAAGTCAAAGATTAGAAACTTACTCATCCAAATCTTTGATGTCGTCAAGCATGGTTTGGGTGCCAGCGTTGTTCACCAGAATGTCAATGCCGCCCATGTTGTGAAGAGCCGTTTCGACCACCATTTTGCAATTCTTCTTATCCCGCAGGTCTGTTGCTAGACATAAACAACTTTGACCTGCTTCTTCCACTCGGCGTTTTGTCTCCTGCGCATCTTTCTCCTCTTCAGGCAGATATGTGATCAAGCTAGACGCGCCTTCCATGGCAAACAGAATAGCAACCGCACGTCCAATTCCTGAATCGCCACCGGTTATGATAGCTCTCTTTCCCGACAGCTTTCCGGCTGCCTTGTAAGTCTGGTAGCCATTATCCTCAGTCGGAATTTGTGTTGATGTGGGTTTTGGATCCTCCATTTCAGCCTGCAAGCCGGGCTTCTTGTGATGCTCGATTGGGATTTGATGGTCTGCAACATTCGTCAGAAAGCTTGAAGATGCATGTAACTGAGATGGTCCAACCAGTCTGAAATTGGGACTTGGGTCCCTTAGAGGGCCTTTCCACCTGCTCTTGCATGTTTATAATGTTCCGTTCGATATCGTTTCTAGGGTACCGGTGCGGATGATGAAATATGTTCAATTGCCGAGGATATGGAAATCCACTTCACAATTAATTCAACAATTTTTGCTTGAATAAAAAGAATTGGGCGAAGCGAAAGTCTGATGATGTTTTATAGACAGGCGGTTTCGGGGAAAGAACTGTCGATCTCGTCAGTATGACGTCTACCTCTTGGTATCAGGGATGCCCAACCATATTCGTTATGTATATTTCTGGCTATTCACCTTTTCCTATACTCCAAAATCCTGTTTCATAGACACTCTGCTTTTTGCCATCCTATTTCATTGACAGGTTTTTATTGTCTCCAAACAGGCGTATAGGGTCAAAGTGGGGCATCCGACTTCGTCTAGATTTACACGGTCCGGTGGAAGTGATGATGCAAAAATTAGCTGCACAAGATACTGGAATAATATATTAAGCATTTTGCTAAGGAAACATGTCATCTGTACGAGGGTGATGTAGGGTATAGTTAAGTCCGGCAGATATATATCTTGGTGGTAGGCTGTATACGAACAACTTCTGGGAAACTATTTCCAACGGCATATCGCCAATTCATACACAAAATTTATAGACGGGACTTGATAACATTTCTGTGCTCAACGAGTACGTGATCATACACTGATCATCCTCAAAAATCTATCACCCAATGCATTTGCTGCCAACGGATTACCTCCAGTGACCAGTTCCCGATGCAGCGTGGTCCCGCCAATCTTCTCAGGCATACCTTCAACCATAACAGCACCTTCATTTCTCAAGGCCGTCTCGACTTTCTCGATCTCCCCACCAAATAGTTTCTCCATCATTTTCTCTTCAGTATCACTCCAGCAGGTAATTTTATACCCCTTGTATACAAACGACCCATCACCTGTCTTCTTTGTACTCAATAGTGCATAGGGTCCATGACAGATGGCAGCTGTAGGTTTGTTCTCCTTATTGAAGTACCGCAGGATCCGCCCCAGCTCTGGATCGTCACCCAAGTCTTGAAGGGGGGCGTGTCCACCAGGGATAAAGAGACCCGCAAATGTGGCTAACTTCTCATTGCTGATGGTACTGAAGGGTAGAGGATGACTGAATCCGTTCTCACGCTTCATGCGTTCGATGAGTTCAAGTTCGCGTCGGCGTTCGTAGAAATTGCCTGCATAGGCGAGTAACGATTCGCTATTTGGGTCTGTGGTAGGCTCTTGGCCTTTGGGGGAGGCGAAAGTCACCTCGTGACCCGCGTCGAGCAGCTTCTGTAGCGGCTTTGCAAGCTCCTGGAGGAAGAATCCCGAAGGTTGATCTACCATTTTGCCGGCGTCGGATCCACTGGTTTTATGGAGAGGAAAAGAGTGTGCATCGCTGAGGATGATCAGTACTTTCTTAGACGGCATTGTATATTGCGATTCTGGGTTGGAGTTTCTATCACTTTGAGGTAGCGGAATAAAATGTAAAGAGATGGGGTGTCTTTTATCTTTCTGATGCAGCATGCATGACATCGAAGTGACGTATAGATCGCAACGCATGGAAAAGCCCGTTGATACTTGATCGACACAAGGTAAACCACATTTGGTTCTCTGGTTCCTCTTCTAGGCAAAGCTCTTCTCTCATGGACATACTTGCCCGTCAATGATTATAAACAACGGGCAGCTCCGGCGCCCCGTGGCTGCAACCCCGCCGACAAAACAACGACCCCGAGTCGATTACCGAGATATTTTGTATGCTCCTGAGGAGGCTTTGTGATATTAGATCATTGTATTTTGTCCATTGTGAGTATTAGGTTCGACCAAACTAGTCAGAATAGCCTTTACTCCGGCCCGAATACTGCATTGCGCGCAAAGGCCAGACTTAATATTCCTGCGAAAAGAGCTTGGACTGCCTGTTAATGTTATTTGCAATCCATCAAAATAGGCATGAGACGTGTTCACATTGGTTTGAGTCACAATCGTAGGGCGTGTGTGTTGCGCTGTACGGTAGCGGCGCATCTCTTCTGCTGGCTGATTATTCGCGTCATACTTTAAAGGTAGACAAGTACCCCTCGTACAACACGGGGGCAATTCTCACTTAGCCTCCGGCCATATCTGACCCAAGGCAGCTCTCACCTACATTACGCCTTTCGTACATGTACCAAAACAGTACCCACCTTGGCACAGCACCCCACTGCTAGCCGTATGCAAGCTACACGCCAGGGATGTATAACAGTAGTGAATGTAAGTTGCACTCAAGCGAGACTGTATTATAATATATAGTGAGATATTAACGTTAGTATCTGTGATAGCTCTATTAAACTAACCGTGTCAGTTCTGGTTGTGTTCAGTAGCTGAGCGGTGCTGGGAATGCCGGTTCTTGCAGATCTTTATTAAACCCACAAATTTAGGTTTAAGCAAGGCCGAGACAACTTGATCTGCTAAAAAAGTAATCTTGGTTTGATTTTTTAAGGCTATTTGATTAGTGCTAAGGGGGCAGCTATTGGAGTTTATCGGCTATGGATCGTAGGTCGGCCCAATCAAGTACAGAGATATTGTGTCCACTGGACTTTTTCTTCTGCGCCCAACCTGCCTCCCCGATACAGTAATAAACACTCCCGCCTGAATGTATACAGCAGTACAGGCAGTGCTGTGGGTGTGTGCAAGCCCACGAAGGTAGATGTGGATGTATTTAAACGTCACAGCTCACCAGCTCACTTGCTTTGTATTTGGAAGCAATTGAGCATGTAAAATAGGTCAGTGTTCGATTCCTTTCCGCCATTTTGTTGGCTTGAGGCCCTAGGACTCCTCGAATAGCTTCCAAATCAAAGGCCAAATGCCGAACAAAAGGGGTTACGGGTGTCTTCCGTAGTGGATAACATCTCCACTTTACTGAGCATGACGGTGGTTTTGTCTCTTGTTATTGGGGAATGTCGAGATATAGAGGGTCACACATGACTTATTGATACCCTTATTGGCTCTATGTCAGGGTTCCTAAGTGGGTATCTAATGGATCAATCAATTGGGCAATCTCCGTGCTGTACTCCATATACCTACAGTAGTTCGATCCAACAAACCTAATAACAGGTTTACCTAGCCCACCACGAAAAAAGGGTTTAAAATACTTCTTCTCCTCCCCTAACATTCAAACTATCTCTCACATTTTTCCAACTCTTACACTCTTTTCCCACTCTTACACTCATTTCTCGCTTTTCACACTCGTTTCACATTCATTTCAATACCACCACCAAATACCACCATGTACGCTAGCAACATCGTCCTCTTCGCCATTGGCGCCCTGACCGCCTCCGCAAGCCCTCTGCTTCAGCAGCGCTCGTCCTACACCGCTTGTCCCTCCGGCATGTACGAGAACCTGCAGTGCTGCAAGACCAACGTCGTTGGAATTGCCGCCTTCCAATGCAAGGCTCCTTCCAAGGAGCCCGCCAGCCTGGACGAGTTCAAGAGCCTCTGCGGTGCCCCTGCAGTTTCAGCTCTGTGCTGCACGCTTCCTCTTGTATGTCATAGCAATAATCCAGAAACTCATCTGCGTCCGAATAAACGTGTAACTGACAAACTGTATAGGCCGGTCAGGATGTTGTGTGTATGGACCCTCTCCCTGATATGTCTGCCATGTCGTCCATGGGAGGATCAGGCTCATCCGGCTCATCCGGTATGCCCTCCATGGGATCTGGTTCCACTGGCTCCACTGGTCTGCCCTCCACCCGCTAGAGCGTCTTTGTCAAGGGCCGTTGCTTCGTTTATACAATCCAGAGTATCATTCAAAGCCCGGCGTTTTTGATTATGACTGAAGTTGACATTGCCCGGATAACGGGTTCGGACATTATACCAGGAATATTGATAAACATTTTTGATAATGTTAATTGTATATCATTCTACAAAGTCACCGAGCTTAACACGAATGTAGACTATCAACCATTATACACAAAAACACATCGCATAGTATTGCTCCGCCTGTCAGACCAACCTTTCAAAAAACGAGTGGATAATCCCCTCGTTACTAGCCTCGTACTCTCTAAGCTCCACTGTACCATCTTCCTTCAAGAAAGTATTTGGCTGCACAATTTCCACTTCGGCTCCGGATTTGACGCGACGATCTTTCTCCACGTCTCAGACGCACCATCCACGGCACTCAGTATTCCGTGTAATAGCCAACATGCCTCTACATCGGCGGTAGAGTGCCACATATGGATCTTGTACAGTAGTCGTCCGATGGAAGGTGTTCCATGCGACATGAGTGGAGAAGATCAACGCGAACAAACAGCTTCCTTCTGCGATAATATGTTCTATACTTAGCACACCATCGTCGTCTTGAACAATGTGCTTCAGTATTGCAAAATGAGCGTCTAAAATAGAAGCGATGACCAGTTATTTTCATGCTCTGGTTGTCCTTCAATGTGAGAATTTACCAGGCTAAGATCACCACACCAGGCCTAGTCTTCCACCCTGAGAGTACGAAGTACGCGTCCTTCAACACTAATGTAAAGATAGGTGTTATAGATGACTGCGTCTTGTCAGTGATATCAACAGCGCTCATTGCAATGGTACATAAACACTCACGGTCATCCGCGTAAGGTGTGATGTTTTCATCATATCCAAACATAGCGAGAATGTCCTTGTTGCCGGCCAGATATTAGGCAAATAGAAAAGCCGGCATTCTTCCACTGTGAATGCCAACACCAATACCCGAATACACTGCTCCACGTTTATTTTGGGTTATACCAAGTCTCTATTGGGTTTCCTGTCACTTGGTTGATCGGCGGTTTGATGTGATCAAAGTTGAACTCTCCAGGGGTTGGTTCACTAAGTAGTTTCCCAGAGTCATGGCTAATGAGCCCATGCATGGCTGTAATGTTGAATCTTACGATATGGGCGCAGTTCATGTATACCTCTTGTCAGGACATGCAGCCTGCCTAGTGTATCAGGCTGATGCCTCATGTGTCGGGCCTTATGTAAACCTCCGGTTTGGTCTCCCTTTGATGCTCATGCAGTCCTCCTTAGGGATTCCGCTTGGCAGCCCTGGATCCTCCCATGCTTCCATCTATATAGGGCTATAGCTTCCCGTAGTGAATGAAGCATCTTATTATTGGTATTCAGGAAAACTTCCCATTATAGCGGCTTCAGCGACACTAGACGGCGTTTAAGTTATTTACTCAAAATTATTGTTTCTCGAAATATCGAGCCTAGGGGGGTTATCATGTGACTAACGTTCGATGTATATTAATTTTTTCTCTTCTCCCTCCCTTTCCCCTGTTCAAATTCCCTTTCCCAGAATGTCGGACTTTTTTACCAGCATGTCGGACCTCTTTACTGGCCTGTCAGACCAGGAGAACTATGACCAGGGCTACATCATCCGGCTGCAGGAAAAGCGGGAAAGGAAGCTCCTTCGAGCCATCCGTAAGAACGACATCGCCAAGGTCAACGCACTCCTCACAGATGGTGTTTCACCTGATGGCAGCTCTGAGAGAGCCCCATTGCAAACCGCCGTCTGGCTAGGCAGACGCGAAATCATACAACTACTCATCCAATATAACGTCCAATCTCCGAGCAAACCCGGCCCCGATTCGGACGACGACGAGTTGCTCACAGCAGCCGGTCGGGGCCGTGTGGAAATCCTAAATATGCTTATAGAGTACCGCAAGAAGCTTGGCTACAAGGGCACTGCCTGGCCAAGCCGTCGAGGTGACGAGCCCATTCACCGCGCTGCCACTTGGGGTCGCTTGGAATGTCTTCAGTTGTTGGTGCAGGAAGGTGCCACGATTAACCTTGAGAATTCCCATTGGGAAACGCCATTACACCGTGCTGCTAGTCTTCCGACTGGAGTACGTAATGGACTACCGGTGCTGCGGTTTTTACTTGCATCAGGCGCAAATGTCAACGCCTTAACCAATACGGGTGACACGCCTATTTTGACGGCTGCTCGTGCCGGTAATGAAGCCGCTGTTAAAGAATTGCTCAAGTCATCGCCTGATCTACACCAAAAGGGTCAATTTGGAGAGACGGTTTTACTTGTTGCTATCTCTTCTTGTCCCATGAAAACGGTGCGGATGCTCGTCGCAGCGGGTGCTGACATCCACTGTCGGACTAAGTGGAATGCTTCTGTTTTACATCAGGCGGCCGAAGCTGGGAGAATCAAGACTTTCAAATGGACCCTCGATAATAGCAATCTCACCATTGACGATCTCGACTGTCATAATTGGACTCCACTACACTTTGCTGCGTGAAAGAACCAGGTGGCGATGGCCAATTACTTACTTGAACACGGAGCGAATCCATCAATCGCATCAACTACAGGAAATCATACCCCTCTTCACCTAGCAGCTGCTCATAACAACGGTTCCATCCTACAATCAGACGACGAACAAGACGATTCCACCCTTGTCGAGTGCCTTATTCAACATGGTGCTGATGTGATGGCATTGGCAGACAGTAATATTTTGTACTTTACGGGATGGGTCGCACAGGCATCCCGCACCAATATGTACTGGACCTCGAAAGGAAATATTACCCAATCCGACATGATCTGTCCCCTCCACTGCGCCGCCAGCAGTGGCGCCATTCAGAGGGTAAAAGCGCTTCTATCAGCCGGCGCGGATATTCATACCCGCACTGCCCCAGGTGGAAAGACAGCGCTTCACCTGGTTGCGAGCAGGTCACTCCGGAACATGGTCCGTTTCTTGATTCAAAGAGGCCTGGATGATCAGCTAACTGATACTGAGGGACATACAATGGTTCACTATATGTCTCTAGTGGGACGATACGAGCCCGTGAGTATCAAGGACTTTCTTGTCGCCGGGAACCTTTACGAACCCTCGATGGAATCTGAGCTCGTTAGACTTAGACCCTTTGAATAATTACCCTGGAATACTAATATTAATTTCGTTTCCGCGAGACGCAGATCAATAATAGTAGCTAGCTAAGGTAACGCTTCTAAATTATATTAATAAATATCTTAATGCTTTAAGAGTTTTAATAGCTATCTTCTATCTATATCCTTATTATAAGAGAAAAGACTATAGCGACGTTGTAAATCTTCGTCGCTACTTCTTTAACGTATACTCGATTAAAGAACCGCGTTCGAACTACGTAAGTCGGAAAAGGAAATAGTAGTTAGAACCGGAACTTAAGCCTAAATCGAGGTCTATCCTAGCCTACTTAGAGACCTTAGACGTCTATATAGCTCTTAGGTTCGGAAATTAAGATAATAAGGATATACCGGCTTCTTTAGAGGAGGAGCGTATAGCTTTTTAGGGATCTTAATTATATTAATATAGACTAGATATATATAAAGAAGGCGAAGGCGGCCTAAACGCGCCTTCTACCTATATCTGGCCTAGCCTCGCTAGTATTATCGAAAAGGTAAAGTACTAAGAGTAAGAGTCTTACTTTAAGTTAGCCTAGTATCCTATAAAATAATATAGAGATAAGAAGTAGTTAGTTAAAGAATAAATTTATAAAACTAATTTCGTTCTATCTTATTTATATATAGTTACGCTATATCTCCTTAACGGTTAGTCCTACGTGCCGGAAGTGCCCCTATACGCTCTTACCTCTTACACCTACTATATTAACACACTAGTCGAGGAAGTTATCAAATCTAGACCTGGCTGTGACCCGCCCCGCGGGTCCAACTCTTGGACCCGCGACCCGACCCGCAGAGGGTTAGGGTCCAACCTCAGCGACCCTCCGATGCATAAATTTCCCGCGCTTTACCTTATTAGGATGGATAAAATAGATGACTTATGTTGATAAAATACCGTTATTTAACATTGTATTGGTCACAGTCATATTCATGATTCCTATTCTGCCACAAAAGCTATGAAATTGATAGTAATTCATCTATATATATGAAAATAAATAGAAGTAATGCCGTATTGTCAAACCTTTTATCGCTTTTGACTAAAGGTAGCTAGTTAAGGTAAGGTATTGTGGATTCTTATATGTTTGTTTCTAAAATATATATATTGCACCTTACACTCACTCCCTTACACTCACCTCCTTATGCCCACATCCTTATGCTCACCCTTTATGCTCGCTTCTCTATAGCCCCTTCCTTATATATATATATATATATATAAAGCGCTGCCTTCTCTCTCTTTCCTTCTATATATATCTTCTTATCCTTTCCGTATAGCCCTAAAAAAGGGGCCCCAAAGAGCCTCGCCGGCTAACGTTGCGATAGGATATTTATATGCGTCAAGACTTGTGCTACCTTTATCGTTGCTTCTCTTGCGATAAGAAATAGACCATAGAAATATTCTCTTATATATTTCGAAGCCACCTTAACGAGCGTAGAATTACGGGATTCGCCGTATAGGCTGCACATTTCTATGCCTCCCTTCTTCTAATCTTAGTAAGTAGGCAGCTGATAGATATAAATATAAACTCTTTACTAACTATACTCTTCCTAGCACAATATACCTAAGACCACGACGTTAGCGAAGCGAGATAATAACTAGGGCACTTTTGTTAATAACAATACAAGTGCCTAAGTAGCATATATTAGCAATAAGAAGTCTTCTACTTAGCACGAGAGTGAAGCTAGATATAGTGGCCTAAAAGTCTACGAGTATCGTGGAAAGGCTAATAGCGATTGCTCCACTAAGACGCTCGACTTTGTTACTACGGCTCCTAAGGAACTCCGTTAAGTCTCTACCAATAATCCCTAAATTAGCGGTGGAACGGATTAGGCCCCTAAAAAGTATGATCAAAGCTATGGTCTAGGCGTTAACAAAGCCCCGCTACTACTTTACGGATTCTAGAGAGTTCGGCCGGCTAATAGGAAGCTAGCATAGATTAATAATAGCATAAAGATAGTCATATTAACTAGTGCTCCTATAAGACACGTAAGGTCACGTGCTCTAGTTTTTTAGCTAAAAAACTATCTCCTTATTTTTCGGCTAAAAAACTATCTACCGGTTATTACTCTATCTATTATTATTAGGTAGAGGTCGTACACAAAAACCTTAATAAGGGTTATTAAGGGGTATTAAATGTTATTAAGGGTTATTAAGGGTTATTAAGGGTCGTAGAGGGTGACCCTTAGGGTCGTTAAGGTTCGTTAAGGGTGACCCTTAATAATTCACCAATAGGAGTAGTGTATTTTGAGCCCTACTTTAGAATATAATATATTAATTTAAAACCTAGCAACTCTCTAATATTCGTTCGTTCTTTAGTTATGTGAAACCCTCCTATAAGTTACCTACTCCTTACTAAATATTTATCTATACTACGTTCAATATATCCTAGTTCTCTAATATATATGCTTCCTCAACCTTTAAGGGAGCACTATTAGACGCTCTTTAATACCTTCTCCCTAACGATATACCGGTTACTACCCCTTACCCGTTAGGAAGTTAATAAACCTTAACCTTAGCCCGTGATAGCTATTAACCTACTTCTCTAAGCTCTCCGTAACGTCTACCTCTACCTTCTTCTCTCACGCTAATTAACCCCGACTATATTAATACCTTTATTCAATATTGTAATATAATAAGCAAGGAATTTGTCGAGTGGTAGCTCTAAACGGATTTTAGAAAGGTAAAGCGCGTTAACTAGGATACACGCTATTAGGCGGATTGCTAGGATAGCTTCGACTAAGTTACAAACGCTAGAGACGGTAAGCTAGGCGTAATATATAAGAAATATCGGAAGGTCCTTAATTATCCTTTAGCTAGCTATATAGGCACTTCGTCTATAAATAAGTATATAAAGGGGGTAAGTTATAGGAGGAACGTAACGAATAAACCGAATATTAGGTATTTACTTAAGATAGCTATATATTACCTTCCCTCCCTTTACGTTCGTTAATAACTATTTTATTAGGTATAAAACACACCGGCGGTTACCTTTTTATAAACTATTTAGGAGCAAAAGCTTTTAAATCTTATTATAGTGTCGTATCTTCCCTTTTTATTTCTCGAATATTAGGAATTTATAGATATAATTAAATACGCACGCCTCGCACTAACGCAGCTAAATATTCTATCACGTAAAGCTATTCGCGAGCGGCTAAAGGCCTTTATCGTAGAATATTAAGAAAAGCTTCTCTAGAGTTTACCCTAAAAGGCAAAGCTTTCACTTACACTAGACTATTAGACATCACCATTTTAGTAAGCGTTTATAGTAGTGATATATTACTTTTTGGATAAAGATTAGGAGTATCGTGAGGTTCTCCTTAGCTTCGAGCCACTAGTTAGCACGCACTCTAGCTCGAATCTTAGTGAGGTTATTACTCGGCTTCTACAAAGACATAATATCCTTGATCGTGTGCTCGTAATTACCACCGATAACGCCTCGAATAACACGACGCTAGTTTAAGCTATGAACGAGTTAGCAAGGACTATCTAGTAGAGCACCGAGGCTACTATTATTCGTGTACCTTATATTACTTATATTATTTAGATAAGTCTTATAGATTTACTTAGGAAGATAAAGATATCTCTGAATAACGACACCGCCGAGCTAAGATAGTCTAATAATCGTGTGCGGGCGCTTCGTGCACGTCAAAAAAAACATAAGATCGCGGATACACTAAATAAGGTTAGTTTTATTTTAAACTATATTATTATCTACTTACCTTATTCCTAGGTTCGTAACCTTACTATTTATATTAACGTAAGTCTATAACGACGGGATACGTTCTATAACCTCTAAGATAAAGAGCCTAAGCTTATTCTAATCTAAGATATTAAGATACGGTGGAATTCGACTTTCCTTATGCTTTGGCGAGCAAAGAGACTATAACTAATCTTTGATACATTTTGCTCATAGTACGAGCAGCCTTATTTTGCACTAGGCCGGGGAGAAAAGAGGTAGATTAAATATCTACTTTATATTCTTAAACCATTTTTTAGGTTTATAAGTCTTATATTAAGGACTAAAGACTCGAGTATTTATCTCGTCTTTAGTATATATAACCGCCTTTTCGATCACCTTAAGAAGTCAATTACAGCCCTTAGGCGAAAGAAGGTTCCTTAGAAATAGCTTATACTATCCGCACTTAAGGCCGCGTTAGCTAAGCTTTCGAAATACTATAAGGATATAGATAGTATTAATAGACACCTCTACGCTATTAGCGCTATTTTGTCTCCGTTATAGAAGCTCTAATTCTTCTTATTAAAGGAATAGGAATTAGACGAAGGAGAGGAGGTAACCTAGAAGGATATTTACTATAGTAGTCTTAAAACCTAATTCGAGGTTTATAAGCAGCGTTTAGATCTTA